TATTCTTCAGATTTCCAAGGAAAAATTAGATCAAATCTCATGATCCTTTACAAAATCATCCATCGGGATTTAATTCAGATCTGAAAATTCGATATCCATATAGAAATGAAACGAAATGCACGATACGATACGTGTAAGAAATATCTTCGATAGAGTCAACAAAGAAGGAATAAGAAACCGAGGTCCGACGACGTATATGAAAAACCCATCTTCACCCCCAATTCCCGTCGGATTTCAACGTCCAAACGAAGGCAAATAAAAGCTCAAAGAATCGAAAGTAGCTCGTCGAAAATGAAACGAACGAATTGAATCAGAAATCATTTGCCGAATGCGAAACGATCAAGTTCGTATCGTTCAAATCAGAATATCTTTAATTCAGAGCAATCCGGTTGTCGTTCAAGTACGACTGCGCGGTGCTGCGGCACGGGATTCGGGTCAATGATTCATGGCCACGCCCTCGCCAATCCGCATCCTTCTTCTCTCAAATACCATATTGATTGATACTATGAATATACGATTGGAAATCGATCTTATGGTATTTTTTCCTGTTGAATCATTCAGGGATCTGATTAAGTCATATCTTGGTCATGCCCGGGAGATTTGCAGGATAAATATGAAATATCGAAATAATTATGATTCATAAATATAATTAAAATCAATATTCAAATTCCCAACCCAATCCATACTAATCCAAATTCCATTGCCCAGATTCGGAAGGATTCCGGAAAGATTTATAAAGAAATCTTTCAGGATCTGAAATATGGAAAATATTTCAATATTTCAAGTAATCTTCGTGCATCGAGGCAACATAAGAAATTTCTGCTCCCAAAAATATCAATGAAGAAAGGATATATCTCGCTCACCAATGGGAGGAGAATACAGACGAATTCTATATCCAAATATCCCGGAATCGGAATCGAGACCAAATAACTTAGTTTTCGTATTCTCCAGACCATCTTGATATTTATAAAGATCCGTCATCACCCCGAATTAATGAGATCCCAGAAAGACGAAAAATATATAATGAAGACCCCGAAAAATGAGATCTATCAAAGATGAAATCCAATTATAAATAAGATATCACGTATCCGTAAATTCTCATATAAAGATTAAAGATATCTTTCAATCAACTCAGAAGTTCAATTCGAGGAATCAAGATATCCTACATTGAGGGGTCTCTTATAAAATATGAAATCAATATCCTCCTATTTTGAAGGATTTCCTATCAATATTGAAAATAATCATTCAGAGATCCATTTGTCCAATCAAAAATATATCAGGAATGAAATATTCGCATCTGAGGGGTTGTTCTTATTCGCCTTCGTGGCGATATGATATATATGCTAGTATCGTTATAATGCAAACGAAATATATTCCCGCATCCGAAATTGGCTGGACCCTATAGATCATTCTAATGTCCATGAACGATACGACAGAGAGAATCCATAAATTGAGTTCCTTCGATGCTCAGACCTCCTCTATAATCGAATACGATGGATTCAAATCCGATTCCCTGCTCGTTACAGTGGGTCAAAATGGCTCGATCTTGGAGCTTGTATTGGGCGTGCTATTCCATTATATTCTACGAGTTGATCCTCCCCCAGAAGGGAATATAAAATTCATTATGATTCGACCGAAATACTTCCAGATAGATGATCTATATAATGGAATTGACCATTGATATATGCCGAACGCAACCATCGGGATCGTAATAGGAGACGACCTATCAGGCTCAGAATATGGACTTTATCATTTTTGAAATAATTCGTGGTTACGAAATGGACGCGTGTAGACTCTTGAAGATTTTACGTAAGGAATATGATCGAGCAATGAGTCTTTGAAGGCTCTGAATTGGTATTTTTGGGCGCAGAAGTCGCTTGCACTGGTTTCACCCATCTAGAAATGAGATTTGGCTGATGTTGTTGTGTTACAAGCAATGAATTCATCTCTAAACATAGTAAATCAAGATTTGAAAAATAGATTTTCCATTGATATTCAGAGGAGATTATCTCATATCTTATATAAATGTCGTGTTGCATGGGCATCTATAGATGTGGCCCAAGGGCTGTTGATCGTTTTCTTCAGAATATGTTGTGAGGAATATCGAAATGAATCCTCCGCCAATATATTATGAGACTTCTGATTCATTCCTTGACCAATCTTATGATATTTGATACGCCACATTCGACCCCCTGCTCAAGTGACGTCGACCCCTGCACAACGACGAAAAGGAATGATTGTAGTGTCGTGGCGGGGATTCATTCGAGATATTCTCGAGTTGACGCTTAGATATTGCGGGTGAATAATGATTGGAAGGGAAATCTGAGTGCCTGAGACAAAGAAATCAGCTACGGTGCAAGTGGCATCTACACCCAAAAGCACCAATTATCGTAAGAAAGACCATGATGAGAAAAACAATTCAAATGAAATAAAGAGAATCCCCAGAATCAAAATCAAACGAAAAAACAGACGAAATCCCAAATATATTAGAAGAATGCCAAATGAGACGGGCCACGATTATTAGCACTTCTTGTCTTGCTCAGGCCTAGTGATACCGTGCACCCCTTCTCGTTGCTTTAGGTCTTGAGCCACGGACGCCTCCTCGCGTAGATATGGCCAGGGCGATGCCCATCGCTTCCGACTCACCAGGGTCTGCAGCTACAACCCTCTATCTTGTCGACAATGCGGTCGTTTCCATGACATTCTTGGACAGCTTCGTAGCTGCCACCTTGTGGGCCTCCAAGGTACTAAGTGCACCACCACCTTGCCCGTTGAGTAATCCTCCCAAGATGGATTTCATGTCTTTCACTGGGGCCGTGTACCTGGTAAGGCTGGTCGGCCTATTGGCGTTGCTCTTTGCGCGAGCAAGCGTGCGCTTCCTGCTTCCAGCATTCGGGAAGTGTGGGTGCCTCCTGAGTCTGTACGTGGTCGCTTGGGCATGGTGCGATTCAAAACTCCGCGCGTTGATGTTGCCGTGGTTGTTGGATATGCGCCTTGTGAGCCACAGTGTCAGAAAGACCAGGCTGGGGTTAACACATTCTGGCGCGTGTTGTGTGGCTTGCTCTCGCGCTTACCGGCGCGTTGTACGCCCCTTCTCCTGCTTGATGCAAACGGCAAGATGGGCGTGCGTTGTGACCCTCTTGCCGGCCTCACGGGCTTACCTGATTCACATGTGGGGCCCTGCCAGCCAGACCGTGAGAACTATAATGGGTCACAGCTTGCCAGCATGCTTCGGCTGCACGGTCTTAGTGCCATCAACACCTTTTTCAATGCGGGTCATACCTTCTTTCACAACTCAGGCATCTTTAGCAGTCGCATTGACTACATTTGTTGAGTTGCGTGCCGCGACCTCAAAGTGCAAAGTGTGGTATCGTGCAGGTGACGCACTGCAGCTCATCAACATCAACTCCCCAAGGGACCATCGGCATGTTGTTGCTTGCTTGCCTCTTGGTTTGCATTTTACTGGGCAGCCTGCCTCCAGGCGTGTACTTTGGGACCATGATGCCCTCAACCGTTGCGTTATCTATGGCGAACGCAGACATGAGTTCGTCTCAGAGGTTGAGTTCGAGATGTTGCTGCTCGCTTCTTTACTCACGAGATTATTAGGTTGCAGAAACCTTCAGACACACAACGTGCGCTGCAATGTCGTGCGCAGGCTCGACGAGACCTGCGAGCGTTTCGGCTTTTCTGCACTGCTTGTCCTCCTCTCCCTTGGCTGCCTTCTGTGGTTGCGTGGCTGGACGGTCCATCCTTGCAACAAATGGCTTGTGTTTGTCACCCTTGTCTGGGCACTCTTGCCAAACTGGCCAGGTTGCAGCTTGCTTGTCGGTTGGCGGACAAATCAATCAAGCGCTTGTGTCGACGTGACCGCAATCGTGTGCGAGGCCAGCGTGTCCATGAGCTGCATTTTGCGTGGCAGGCACGTGATTTCGCAACCTGTTGGAAGTTGTCCAGGCTTCTTTCGGGCAGGCGGCTTGGCCCAAAGAAACGCCTGTTTTCTGCGCCCTCCGTTTGTTGTGGCACAGATGAGTGGATTTCGTACTTGCGACGCCCTGGTGCTGATGGTGGTTGCTCAGCTGCTCCCAGGGACTGGCAAATTGGGTTGCAACAGCATTGTGATCCCTTGCCTTGCCGTCTGCGTGCATGTGACCTTACCAATGCTGCTGCTGACTTGTCGTCCATTGGTCACCTTTTCCGGAGCTGCAAACTCCGCAAAGCTTCTCCTAGTTGGTCCTTTCCCGCAAGTGTTTGGCGCATGCTCTTCTACTCTGGGCGTTTTGCCACTAAGCAGAAAGTGGGCCTTGGAGCTTCGCCGCCCCCTGTGGTGGCTCCATCCACTCGTCGGTGCATTTTTTGGCTCCTTGTGTGCATTCGAGCTCGTGGTTGCACACCCTTGGTTTGGCATGCCACCTCTGCGTTCACCATCGGCAAGCATAATGGTAAATCGGGTTGCGCCGGTCAGCGGCTGTTGCATGGCTTGGACTCCTTCAGCAAGCACTTTTTCTTGCATGTCTGGCGACAAGCTGGCTTTCAGGTCAATAGGCCGTATGCCTATGGCTATGCGAAAGGGCGCCGCAGAGAACATGCCATTATGCAACAATCCGTGTTGTGTCACCGCTTGGATCTGGCAGGTTGCAGTCGTTGCACAGATTTTTTTGACGCTGCTAATGCTTTTGCTTCACCTTCACATGCCGCGTTGTTGCAGTTTGTCCAGGCAGCGTCGCCTGACAAGTGGACCACTCAGATCCTCCAGCAGCGTCTTGCAGATGCCACCTTGTTCTTGCAGTGCGCTGATGGCCAATTGGTCCTTGGCATTGGGTCGGGCACCCTCCCCGGTGACTCCATCGCTTGTGAGTGGTTTCTCGGTGTGTACCATCAAGCTGTTGACCGGTTTGCCATTCTGCATGTCGGACCTCCTCTCCACGTTCATTGCCCTTGACTCTGTGGCATTATCACTGACAGTGGTCCAAGTGTCCAACACGCCCTCCGTGCTCAAGCGCATCTCCCTATGGATGTCTCTTTGTCTGCGTACGTAGATGATCTGGCACGCACGCGGTTGGTTGCAGATATTCCCCAGTTTGTGGCTTCAAGCACTGCACAGTCTCTTGCCCTGTCCGCTGCCTTGCGATCTGTCAGAGTTGTGCAAACACAGAAAAGCAAGAAAGCCTGCTCAGATTTGCAGGGCGTGGTTCCCGGCAGCATATGCGTGCTGCGTATGGCCTTACTTTGCCCATTCCTGGCAAAGTCGTTCGTTTGGCTCGTTACTTGGGCCCCAGGCTTCAGTACAATGGCGCACTGGCGGAAGAACAACGACTCCGTTTGCATGCAGCCAGAGCTGCTTATGCTATCTTGGGTGGTTTTTGGAGATCTACTCGTAACAATAGGTGGAAGGGTTTGGTTTTCAATAGCATGGTCATCGGTGCCCTCATTTCCGGCCTCTGTTCCTTTGTTTTGCCCAAAAGTATGGAAAACGCGCTTGATTCTCAAATTGCCCTTCTCGCTCGTAAGGTGCTCTTGGGGGGAGGGCTTATGATCGCTCGTATCCTCAGCACTTCAAGTCGCTCACCAATGCAGCAACACTTCGCATGCTTCAGTGTCACCCCCCCCAGCTCTGCCGTGCAGGTACAACGACTTCGTCTTTGGCAGCAAGTGGTTAAGCACCCTGAACGTTCTGTTTGCCTGTTGGGTAGCATGTTTGGAGAGCCTTGTTGGGGCCATAGTAAACCAAATGCTGGCACCCAGCACAAGTATGTTGGTCTGCTTTGCGCAGACCTGTGCGCTCTTGCTGCTCTCACTTCTCTGGAGTCGTACATCGGTGCTGTGCAGTCCAATCCGCTGGTCTTGTTCACGGGCCCCGATATTCGAGACGCGTTCTTGCGCGCTGACCCTGCCATTCTCCTTGCGGCCAGGTGCTCTATTGCCATCCCTCCACCTGGCTACGAGCCTCTCCCAGGGCAGATGCAGTGCCTGAAAAACCACACGTCTGTCGCATCATTGACCCCTCGTCAGGGTTGGAATGTGGTGCTTACTTCAGTACCAACCAAACACTGGTTCTACATCAGGTTAAATCTGGCCGGCCCGAGCATGGCAAGCGTAAGCTGGCATATGTTCTTACGGTATCCAATCAGTGTCTTCTTTGTAGATCTTTCTTTGCGAGTAAATGGATTGCTGCCAAGCACCTTGCCAGCTCATTTGAGCGTGGTATTTGTCCGGCCCGGTCGGGCAGCGTGGTGGTACACGAGCACCTCAGCCTGCCTCCCTATCAGTGCGCGCTCTGCCAGCTGGACTTTGATGACATCGTCTTGGCTCAAGACCATTTGCAGCGGCATCTGCCTCCCGACCTTGAAGTGTGGCTCTAGCACACGGGTTGCCATGGACACTGCGTTCCACCAAGCCTTCGGTGCCCCACCTGCGCCCTCTGCTGCTGCTGCACGGGAAGGTGGTCCCAGCAAAGTCAGGGTTGTCACCGCTGACAAGGAAGCTACTGCTATCGCAGAGCATGCTCTGAAGATGGCTGTGGTAGTTGAGCAGCAACTGCGCTTGACTCAGGCTGCTGCCTTCCGCTCCCTACCGTTGCCTGTGTCCTCTGAGTACTTCAAGTACCTCCAGCAGGCCTATGCTCAATACACTGCGCAAACCAAAGGCAACAAAGGGCATGGCCTGGGGCCGCCTGATACGTTCAATGCCGCCGCCCTCGTTGATGACAAGGCCAAGTTTGACGAGTTCCTCGCTTCCTGCAAGCCCGGCTCGAAGCCAGCAAAGTTGGCTGTCCTTCTTTACCGCTGTGAGAAGATGTATGGGAACACTCACAAACGACTCTTGCTTCGCCTGCGCGACCATGATTTGGAAGATTTGCTAGTGAAGCACATAGAGTGTACAGGGGTTGAAGAGTTTCACGGCCAGCGTCCTGCAGGTTACCTTGCGAATACAGCGCAGACCCTGCTAGATTCTAGGAAGTGACTAGTGCACAGTGCGTCGTGCACTGGTGTTCAGGCTGCAGCCACTGCGGTCTGTTTTTTGCTTCGGTCTTCTTGCAGCATTTGGCTGCATCCTGACCACCGTCAGTATCTCACCATGTCCCGGTGTGCCTGGCCACATATATGATGTAAGGAGTAAAACCCTTACTTCTGCCTAGCTCGGTTTTGTTGCGAATGACCATTCTGACTTCGGGCTCAATGCAATCGATGATGATGACGGGCCACGATTAGGAAAATATACCCGCCATCTTCCCCAATTAAAGGAAGACGTCATTGACGCTTTTGGGAGTAGAAATCTCTTGCGTCTTGGTGTTTTTGGGCGTAGATGCCGCTTGCACTGAATCATTAAAAAATCTCAAGAAACGAATTAATTTCTTTTGTATTTATTCTGAATAATATCTAATTCGTATTTCTAAGAATACAAAATTCTCATTCAGAAAGAAAATACTTCCATCCCATCGTATCCGATTCCCCTCTCAATATCCCTTAGTCTATACGCAAAATCCTCCGATATCAAATGAGCCGATTCTCTTCCAATCCTCCAATCCATAAAATTTCATATCATTGTTTTGGGAATACAATCGGTATTCCTCATCAATATCAAATATTAATAAGCCAAATCGTATGCAAAGGGTATCGTGAAATGCCATATTGGGCAAGTGCGTATCAAATGTTTGATTAAGAATAATTCGAATCCATCCATCAGCCCAAGTTTCTGAACAACTCTCAATTCTCGACCGATCCCGTTCACCAAGTTGTCGCAAGTCGCTATGAGCAGCCGCAACGGCTTCTTTGAACAAATGCATCGTTTCGCTGGCATGGCAGCTCTGCAGCGACAACTTGAACCGACGCAACTTCTCTCAGCTGCGCCCCAGGAGAGACCAGCCGACACACTCATTGTTGCTCCGCCAGCAATCCGCCCCAATAGTTGGCGTAGATTCCCTAGGCTAGCGCTCGACATAGCTGTCTCTTCGCCGTTCCAACACACCACCCTTCATGAAGCCGCGCGGGAGGTCCTAGCTAGTTCCAAGCGCTATTCACAACACAAACGTAATTCGAGAGGACTTGGAGATCGTTGCGCCGCCGCGAACATCGGATATGAGCCGGTGGCATTTGAGAGTTTGGGTGGACTTGAAAAAGGTGGAGAGGATCTGCTGAAGAGTATCTATGCCCTGGGAGATGCGAGACTGCATCGTAGGCCCGGTGAGTCGTATCACGAGTGAAGTGCGCGTAGCAGTTTCGATTTGCAGCGGGGATTGCATATGGCTTTGGAGGCACACAGAACGGTTGAAAATCATTGTGTTGTTGGCCCGCAGGCCGTCGACGCATTCCTAAATCTTTGTGTTCTCTGAGCCAGGCTTGCTTCCTGCTTGGACGAGGTACCGGCCCTGGCAGCCAGCAGAATTGCCGCTTGAACGCCACTCCATGCCGTGCGCTTGCTGAGTAGATGTACAAAATCGGCATTACGTCGGTAACGCTGAGGATCTCTACGATTCCGTGTTCGTTCGTCTTCTTTGTTTGTTGGTCTTGCCGATCTTGGGACCCCCGGTTAATTCGGGGTGGTGGTGGACTTCTTTTCGTCTGGGTTCCCGAGGTCGTGCTTCTGTGGCCTTCGGTTTGTTTTGGCCTTCTGAAGAATGGAGATCTCTGGGACCTTTAATTTCGATGTGCCGCTTTTGGGGACGTAAATTCCTCGGGCAACCTCGGAAACACAAGTCTTCTCAATTGGGACGATATATTTCTCGTTTAGATTCTTAATTGGTGCTTTTGGAGCAGAAGCCTCTTGCACCGGCGAGACACCATCTTGCAATCCATTGAATCTTCCCTTTGAACAAATCCTTCTGTCGAGGCTTATTGGCGTCATCTTTCAAGCGAGGACCCCATGTCGGAAATAACGATTCTTTCGTTTTCTCGAGATTCCTAGTGAATTGGGGGTGGCGGCGGGTTTTTCAATGTACGACTGGGAATCTCGGGATGACGAAATGATCTTGTTATTTGAATTTATTCTGGACGATATTTAATTCGTGTTTCTGGGAATACAAATTTCTCGCACTCGGGGTACCTTGAGGGGGACCTTCTTTTATGGGAATGCTACTGTTGGGAAGTCTACTTTCGGGGTCCCCAATTTTCGTAAACTCGGGCATACGGCTGACGTGTGGTGCTACTCACGGGGGCGCTTCAGACCCGGAGATCGGGTACCTGAGCGCGCAAGAAGGGGCACTTTTCTGAATTGTGGTTCGGTTTAGGGTGAAGGGCGGGTTTAGGGTTTAGGGTTTAGGGTTTAGGTTTTTGGGTTTAGGGCTTAGGGTTTAGGGGGTCCTAGTTCAACACAAAGCCGTCAATTTAGGGTACCAGAAAGGGGGCCATGTTCTGAAGGTTCTTTTCTGAGGGCTGAGGGTTCTTTGCACTTCGCAGGCTCCGAAACCCGAAGCCCAAAACCCAAAACCCAAAACCCTAAACCCAAAACCCAAAACCCAAAACCCTAAACCCAAAACCCAAAACCCTAAACCCTAAACCCTAAACCCTAATCAAGAATTTCTGAGCAAAAGGCCCTCCATCTTCGAAGCGTGCATCTGGGCGATGCTCGCGATCAGTGGCACCTCATCTTGGAAACCGAGCCCTCAAAATACTAGGACAACGTGTTCTTACTGAGGGTCCGGACTTGAGATGAGGGGATCGAGCTTGTAGGGCAGCTGTAGGCGGCTGTACCGGCAAGGTTCCACTTTTAGTTTCCTGGGTGCCCCTAACCCCCAAAGCCTCAAATGGACCCAATAACTTGGGATGGGAGCCGGACGCAGACCTGAACCCTACACTCACCTAGGGGTCGAGGGCGCATATTACGCGCGTACCCGTTTATAGCGAGGGCGTATCGTATTTTGGGGTATAGGTGGGGTACCCCTTTTCTTTCGGAAGTCCCCTTACAGGTAGTAGGGTTGCTATTCCTTGTACCCCCAAAAGGACACCCAATATATACATTCACCAATATTAACAAGGAACCTTACGTACACTCACCAATAACAGGAACACGAACCCTGGTTTTACAGGGTCCCTAAGGGAGGGTTCAAGGGGCGTATGTAACCCAAGGTGCCCTAATACTCCCCTTAACCTTCCCTGAACCCTAAACCCCAAACCCCAAACCCCTAAACCCTAAACCCCTAACCCCTAAACCCCTAACCCCTAACCCCTAAACCCGAGACCCCAAACCCCAAACCCTAAACCCTAAACCAGAAGTACCACGATGCTTCAAATCGGCCCGAGTCCTCCACGTCGACGCTCTTGGCATCTCCCCGAGGTAGGCGATGGCTGCACACACCGGAGACCTGCAAAAGGTATTCCGGCGCCCCCAAAACCCTAAGCCCTAAGCCCTAAACCCCAAGCCGTAAACCCTAAACCCTAAACCCTCAAGACAAAACAAATAGAAATTGTATGTGGTATCGTTCTGAATTTCCAAAATAATTTGTCTAAACAGCTGACAAGCCGTGTTGAAATCTGAGGCCAAATACCCAATTTACTCGAAACAGCCCAAAAGGCCCCCCAAAACAGGCCAGGCTCCAACAAACTCCAAAGAGGCCATCATTTTGGGATCTTCTCCCTTTTACTGGCAGCCCTTAAGAGGGGGTTTCGGGTTTAGGGTTTACGGTTTAAGGTATAGGGATAGTACCCCCCTATAATCATTCTATCAAGGACTGTTGGTATAAGGGGAACATCCCAAGCCATCAGAAAGGTTCGCAAGAGGCCCCCAGGACCCCGAAAAAGTCGGGCCAAAAAAAATCGCCCAACCTTTCGGCCGAAACTTTTTGGGACCCAAGCCCTATACAACTTCTATAAACCCCAGCCCCAAGCCCCAAACCCCAAACACTAAACCTTTTGGGGCTCACTACTAGTGAGTCTGACTCCATGGGCCCTCAGGGGGGGAAGCTGGGACCCTCAAGGCCTGAAAGCTTTGAACCCAAATTCAGCTCCGGGTGCTGTGCTCCTGTCGGTTTAGGGTTTAGGGTTTAGGGTTCAGGGTTTAGGGTTCAGGGTTTAGGGTTTAGGGTTTAGGGTTTAGGGTTTACGATTTAGGGTTTAGGGTTCAAGCACGGCGCTCCCTAAGCCCGAAGTTCCCGAAACAACTCCGAGGAGACAGGCCATGGCCCGTGGCTTAGCTTTGCTCTGCCAGGATACATATTACTATACTTCCCTTAGAACCTTCATAAAAACAATATGTTTAATATCCTCTTGGGTTTTATATAAACAAAAATAAAAAATGATTCACAAGATAATTCACAAGGGGGATTTAGATTATACCCTGTAACCCCTTAAGAAGGCCCCTGTATCGGGTTGATTTTGGGGACTATAAGGCCACATAGCCCATGCCGGTACTCCCCGTAGAGCCAGAAGGAAAATTTAATGTTTGATCGTTCCCCTGGTCTCTTCACACCCAAAATCACATGCTTCCTAGATTCCCAAATTCAAGCTTCTTTCCTTCTTAAAGTACTAGTTGCTTAAGAACCCCTCCCCAAGTAATGAAAAATCAAGATCTTTTTTCCCCTTCTAAGGAGAATTGTATTCGTTTCTTTTTTTTTGGGGGGGTTCTTAATACTGAGAATTAGTTTTTTTACACGTACGTGTAAAAAAACTAATTCTCAGTAAGCAATTTATCCAGCGTGTCCGAGCCTGGATCTCCGTCGTCTCCTCACCGCCGATCTCGGCAGCGGCGATGTCGATGCCCGAGGCGGCCTCAGAGGCCAATGACGCCCAGCCCAAAGGGTCTAGGGTTTAGGGTTAAGGGTTTAGGGTTTAGGGTTTAGGGTTAAGGGTTCAGGGTTAAGGGTTTAGGGTTTAGGGAAACCCTGAAACCCTGAACTTAATGTACCCAAAGACCTTGAGAGACGTTCCTGAGGGGGGGATCAGTGGGCTTCGAAGGCAGATAAAAACACATGCGGGGCGAAGCTCCCATCGACCCTGCGGCAACAGCGCCTAAACCCTGAGCCCTAAGCCCTAAACCCTAAACCCCCTTTTGTTTGTTTTGGCCGTTGTACGCGAGGCCCTGAACCTGAAGTCCTCCTGTGCCCACGACGGGGTCCGGCTCCACGATGGTGACCTGAGCGTTTAGGGTTTAGGGTTTAGGGTTTAGTAATTTAGGGTGTATAGGGTTTAGGGTTTAGGGTACAGCAAGACAAGTCGAAGGGTTGCAGGGCTCCGAACTCCTCGCACCCTTCAAGAGACACGAAAGGCCCCTAGTGTTGAGGAATTCGAGGGTTTTCAGCATCAGCTGCAGATAAGCGCAGGGCCCAGTCGCGTATGGTATGCAGCACGTTGGAGCACACCTCTGCAGAGGGCAGTCGGGATGCCTCTGCTATGGCTTAGGAATCCCTAAACCCTTAAGCCCTAAACCCTAAACCCGTATACCCTGAAGTGAACCCGGAACCCCCATTCCGTTAGGATCTCTGTTGTTGGTCCTGAACTTCGTGTCTTGAAAACACATCAAGTCGAAGGTGGCAGATCATGGGCCTGTGAGACCCCCCCCTTGCCCCCAAAAAAAGAGCGTAAGGAACCACTAGAATCGAGACCTAAGCAGGGTTTAGGGTTTAGGGTTTAGGGTTTAGGGTTTAGGGTTTAGGGTTTAGGGTTTAGGGTTTAGGACATAAACCCAAGACCTGATTGAGATCAACCCTCCTCCCCTGGTGGCTTAGGGCCTTAGGGCTTCAGGGCAGTGCTTCGCTTGTCGCAGCTGAGTCCCCCCGCCGCATCAACTTTGTACCTGGAGGGTTTAGGGTTTAGGGTTTAGGGTTTAGGGTTTAGGGTTTGGGTTTAGGGTTCAATTAACTTTTGTTGTGCTCTCAAGCAAAGTGGTGGAATGGTCTCGGGCGCAAAGAAGCTCCTTTCATGTCTCGAGTGTGCTGTGAGACAGGCAAGACAATCCTAGGCTCCACCAGTGCAGACAACGAACTCAGGGTTTAGGGTTTAGGGTTCAAACCGTGTCTCAAAACATGTCAAAGCCCTAACCCCCAAACCCTAAACCCAAGTCTCTTCTCTGAACGGGCTCGTCCCTCGGGGGCACTTCTTCAATGCTCCGGCAGCTTTGGCAAGGAGGATGTTTGGGTTCGTCCTGGGTCTTTCCGAGATGCTTTGGACGAGCCAGTTTGGGTCGGGCTTTAGGGCTTAGTTGGGCTCAACCCCCCGGGAAATCGACTACGATTTCTGGTTCTCCCATTCTAGGATGGCCCCTTAAAACCCTCCGAAATATACCCCTGAGTATGATCCTCTTCAACCCAACAAGAGAAAATGTCAGAATGTCCCAAGGCCTACCTAGAACTTGGGAACCTGGCTGGGAGTCCTACACTTCGCTAATCATGCCCAGTTCAGTTCCCATGGCTGCCAATTCTACGGCCTCCCCTTGAAACGACGCAACGGCCCCCTTCGCGGCAGGAAGGCGTCGCACCCCACGCATCCGTTGACGGTTTAGGGTTTAGGGTTTAAGGTTTAGGGTTTAGGGTTTGGGGTTTCGGGTTTAGGGGTTTTAAGGTTTAGGGTTCTGAAAATGTGCTCCAAGAGCTTGAAACCCACGCTCAGGGGGAAAATGTGCCGTCATTTCGGGGCTGGGAGCGGGGGCTTCCGCTTCGAGACTTATGGGCCCTCAGGGTCCATGCACCTATCTAGCAGATACCTGGGCCTTCCAGAGGTTCCCATAGCGTAGCTTCAGGGCCCAAGTATCTACTACATAGGTACCTGCACCCTTAGAGACAGGGGTGGGGCTTCTGAGCATGTACCGTCGGGTTTAGGCTTGGTGCTTGGGACTTGAAGTTGGGGCTTTCCTTGGGGACCAAATGAACCTTCAGACTTCTGGGGCCTTTTTGGGAAACCTGGCCAGAAGCACCCTAAACCCTAAACCCTAAACCTTAAGGTCTTAAATCTGAGGCCAGAAGCACTCCGCTGAGGTCTGCGCTCTAGCTTGAAAGACAGCACGAAAGCCTCAGGGTCTTTGAGGCTGTCTTTGAGGATCCACATCTAGACCAGAAAAAGTGTGCCCTTTTTGGTTTAAACGGGCTCATAGGAGCCCCTAAACCCTACCCCAAACCAAAACCCTAACCCTTAAATCATGTGGCTATATAAGTCCAAATATAAGGTCCCTCCCCAATTGAAACCCTGTCTTGCGAAGGCTGGGTGTGGGAACATTGATGACCACAGAGCCGTGAACCTTCGTGATCCTTTTGCGAACCCTTTCTTGCCTGTATACTGTGAGTTAAAAAAGTAAATGCGTGAAAAACACATACACATTACATATGCGTATACATCTATCTCTATATATATATATATACATATTGCCACAAGTACACCTGTAAGGTGGTCACTTCCCTCATAATATGTCATCAAACCTTCTTGGCCGGCAAGGTCCCACTTCACGTTCCGGAGTATATGCGCAACATAAAAAATGGGAGGGTGGGGGTCCAATTTGGGGGTCCAATTTGGGGCCCTCAGATTGGGCAAGATGATGTGGCACTTCTGCATCTGAGTTCCCTGACTCCCTCTAAACCCTAAACCCTCAACCCACAACCCTGGCCCTAAACCCCAAACCGTATATCCCTATGACCCAACAACCCTAAACCCTAAAAGCCTATAACCCTATAATCCTAAACCCTAAACCCTATAAACCCTCGACCCTGAAACCGGGAAGGCACTGCGGCATTCAGCGGCTGAGCCTCACGCCTTGGGAGCCCACTCACGAACTGCACCGAGCCTGGGGGGGGTTTAGGGTTTAGGGTTTATAATTTTCGGGTTTAGGGTTTAGGGTTTAGGGTTTAGGGTTCAGGGTTTAGGAATTCTTTGGGCCGAGGAAATGCTCTGATGTTGAGGAGGGTTGTAGGGTTAAAAAGTGTTGAGCCCGACGAGCACACTTAAAGCAACAACTGCAAACCATGACGAAGTACACCATGGGCAGCTGACCCCTAAACCCTAAACCCTATAAACCCGATAAACCCTATAAACCCTATAAACCCTAAAACCCTAAAACCCTAAACCCTACACCTCACATTCCAGACTTGCAAACCTCGACTGCAACTTCGTTCAGGGCTGACCCTAAATCCTATAAACCCTAGAAACCCTAGAAACCCTATAAACCCTATAAACCCTAAAACCCTATTTGCCCTACACCCTGAGAGGCCTTGTCCCAAGCTGCACTCCGGGGTCTTTTTGCGGGAGCCCTGAGCAAGAGATTCGAGTCTAGGTTGCAGCCTAGGATAGAAAAGGGTGCCCGTTTTGGCTTCAAAAAGGGGTTTATGAGGGACCCGAAGCCCCAGTGGGCATCCTAGGAAAAAGCGGCATGCTTTCCGAACAACCCTCCCTCCTCACCCTACACTCCCTAATCAACTCCCAACCCCCTTTAGGCGCCCCGCATCTTTGGCACGTTCCGCAGCTGTACAGTGAGCCCATCGTGCGCCTGATGTTAGAAGTATAGAAAGGGAATCCTTTCAACAATTTGCCGAACCAACCCTGAGTGCCTGTGCTGCTCCTAAACCGCTACACCCGAAACCCTAAACCCTACTCTCCCGTGTGCTGTGAAGGATCTACATTCCGAATCCCCCCCCCCCCGGTTTGGGGTTAGGGCATCTGCAGGTCTCCGTGCAGCAGGGGACTCGATTGCTCCTCTTTTCAGAAGGACACCAATATCTACCCTCACCAATGCTTGTAATAAGGAACCCTTTGTCCACTCACCAGAGCCAGACATTGACACCCTACTCAGGGAAGCACATGTAGCATGGGCCCCAGAGCTCAACCCTAAACCCTAAACTCTAACCCCTAAGTCCCCACCGAAAAGGGATGCCCAGGGGCTTGCAAACCTGGTTTGGCCCTTTGAGCCCAAATGCAAGACTCTTCCTGATTAGGATCCAACGACAGGGGCTTAAGGGTTTAGGTGTTTGAGGTTACTCAGAAGGCCCCCTAAACCCCATACCCCAACCCCCAACCCCCAACCCCCAACCCCAACCCTAACCCTAAACCCGAAACCCTAAACCCTAAACCCCAAACACCAAACCCCAAAATTATCCGAAGGTCCTACCCAGTTCGCTGAAAGTATTTGCGCTGGGGTCTCCGGACCCGACTCTGAATCTTCTCCGTGGCCATCTCCGCCTCAGGCCTTGGACGGCTCACCGCAGAACAAACTACTATTTGCTTAAGAACCCCAAAAGAATAGAAAAAACAATAATTCCTATAGTACCCTTAGTAAGGAATAACTATTTGCTTAAGAACCCAAAAGAATGAAAAAGAACAATCCCTACGGTACCCTTAGTAGTGTGGAACAATATTTTGTTTTGTTCCGGGGTTCTTAAGCAAGTAGTAGTAAAGGCCACCCTTCTTTTGGTTGGCCGCTTGTTTGGACAAAGTGAATTTTGAATTCAAACTGCTATGTTGTGGCGGGGGGGGGGGGGGGGGGAATGCGAAATTTCCAAAATGTTCAAGGCCTTGGTCCGGGCTTCCACGGGACATGTTGGAAGCACATGGGTAGTTCTCTAGATTAAAACCACAAACCTCAAACCCTCAACCCTAAACACTCAACCTAAACCCTAAGTTGAACGTTTTAGCACTTTTGGGCTTGCAAAGGCTTTTGTAAGCCAGGGTTCCAAGGGGAAACAACACAATTCTGTCTATTCATCTATGTCTCGAGGGTTCAGCTCCAGGGCTAGCACACAGCTTTGGCTTCAGTCGGTTTACAAGGGTTCCAAACTCTAGACAGGGAATAACGGTATTGCGGGTGTGATAACTGATTTTGGGGTTCATGGCCGTGACAAGAGGGCTTAACACCAGGTGCATATCCTACACCAGAGCAAACCCTAAAAAGCCCTAAGCCCAACAGCGCCGCTTCGTAGCCAAGGCATAGGCACATAGAAGTCCGAGACGGCTGCCGCAAGTAGTACCAGCCCAGCCGGTCCTCGAATGTTTGAGACCCTTTGCAAGATCTGCAGAACGTTCTAGAAGTAAGGTAGAAACCATATGGTCACTTCTCTACATATGGTCCCTTTTGGGGTTCCGATTATAAAGCGCCAGCTCTGAAAGGGGTACCCATAAAAAGGATGCTACTTTAGAGAAATCACCATATGGGTAGTTGTCAAGACCTCAACAGGAACCCTCAAATTAGAACATGTTCGCAACGGTAGGTCGGTAGGTCAGGTGCACTGAAGAGGTTTAGAGGCTGAGTGCTGATTGGAGAACCTTTATGCGGGGTTGAATGGAATTCTAAACACTTTCTAAACCCTAAACCCGAAACCCTCAAACCAAAACCCAAAACCCAAAAGCAGCAAAAGCCCTAACCCTGTGTTCCTGCATCTGTCCCCTGAGGATCGTGCCGAAGCAGTTTCACTACACCCACATTGGAGAGCCACCAAGTACATGGCTTGGTACAAAGGCCGCCGACTTCGGTGATCTATCCAACCCCCCCCCCTCCCCCTTTAGGGCCCCTACCCCCCTGTTTTGGGGGGCCCGAAGTCTAGCAAATTTCGTTGAGAACCGGAAAGGCGCATGAGTACCAATCCCAGTGCCTCGAACCGGTATCTTGGTATTCTTTCCGATTACCCCCCTCCCCCCGTTTAACTTGGTTTTCCCTTGCGGTTCCTTGGGGGGGGGGGGGGGGTTGGGGGGGGGGGGGGGGGTCCTTCAGCGAACCTAAACCGAAAATGTAAAACTTAAAACCCAGAACCCTAAACCCAGAGCCTCCTTCCTTAAGAGCTCAACCCCTCAACCCAAGCTCGAGTCCTGCTGGCGCCAAGGCTTGACACGCCTCTCTGAGCCTGCTTCGGGCTTGGGGAAAGGGTTCAGGGTTAGGGTTTGGGATGTTCCCCCTTATACTTACAGTGCTTAATAGTGATTATAGTAGGGGGTACTATAAATCCCTATTGAGGACGGATGTTCCCCCTTTTACTTACAGTCCTTAATGGTGATTATAGCAGGGGGTACTATAATCCCTATTGAGGACTGTTAGTACAAGGGGGAAGCTCCCAAGTTAGGGTTTAGGTTTCAGGGTTTAGGGGCTTCAGGGGCTACCGTTGATAGTGTGCCAGACACTTACATCCATGTTTCCAAATTCAGCACAGCCGCAGAAAAAGGTAGTCGAAGATCGTGGTGAAGCCAACAGGCAGAAGTCGGTCCTGGAGAAACATTGTGGTGAATTCGCCAATGAGTGCTAGTCAAATCCGAACAATCATCTCCTAGAGTATCTGGCACGGTGAAAGCGCCATAGATCCCAACCGCCCACGCTTGCTCGGCGGTCAACCTCAAAGATCCCGAGGCAAGGCTCCATCTGTCCGGGTGAAGTGAAGTGTTCAGAGTCTTTAGGCCGGTTCTCTGTCATCAAGCTTCCGCTCGTCCTTCAGGTCAGAAGGCGGCTGGGCCTGGCTCGCCACCTGAAGCGGAGGGCTCAAGTGGCTTACAGCACCCCCTAAACCCTAAACCCCAAACCGTGAACCCCAAACCCTAAACCCTAAACCCTAAACCCCGAGGCAGCAAGTCACAGAGCTCTGAGCAGCTGCACAAGCCCGTGTGAACGTAAGACGCCAGGCTTCAAGCCAACTCCATCAACCTTGACCGTGATTGAACCAGACTTGGAGGTTTACTCCATTAAGGACGCTTTGGCTACATAGTTACACCCGACCCACAAATCGAGGTAAGAACAACAGACAGATCGTAGCCATGGGGTCCATTTGGGCGGGTCTTTAGGACGACAATTCCCAATGTTGCAAGAAGCCCGCCAAAAGCTTTTGGGGGGCCCAAACCCTAAACCATAACCCTACCCTAATCCCTAGTCCCGAGTCCCGAGTCCCTAAACCCTAAACCCTAAACCCTAAACCCTATAAACCCTAAACCCTAAACCCTAAACCCTAAACCCTAAACCCTAAACCCTCCTCGCCTCGTGCGCCAAGAGCTGCAGGGGAGCCTGGGAAGCTGAACCGAAGCCTCCAGAAGCCCCTGAGTATGCCCCTAACCCTATAATTCCCTGAAAGACCTAGGCCCTAAATCCCTAAACCCTAGCCCTAAACCCTAAAACCCTAAACCCTCAGCCCTAGCCCCCAACAGTGAACCCTGTCGGCCTCGTTGAGCTTGCGGACGATATCTGTCGCGTAGGGAAAGTTGGAGCCTGCTTTGCAAGGGCTTAAAGTTTAGGGCAGCTACCACAAAAAGTGAGATGAGGAGTCAGGACTTCCCCTCAACAACCCTAGAACGACTACCTTAAAGTCCAAAAGCCTCAAAAACTCAAAAGTCATAAGCCTTCAACAGCTCTGAGACCACGTAATACCGGGCTTCGCTTCTCTCTGTGGGTCTGAGTTCCATAGCTTGTCGGCCTTGGTTTAGGATTTCCCGGTCCGCAAGGCAAAACAAATTTGAGGACATCAACCGTATCACTCCCTCTCGGAATCTTCTCTTTTGCAGGCACCGCCGCAGCCGACAAGAGGGCAGCATTTCGGGATATAGCGACAGTTCGGTAGTACAAAATATATACGAATACAAAATTGGAAATAGGTCAAACGCTTAAGGTGCAAGAAGGGAGAGCCCCAAGCCCTAACTCCTCGACACTTCTGTTCACATGTCCGGAGCCCAACTGACATGAAACTGGGGAGGTGGCTTGTACACCAAACAGCAGACTATTGCACACTGTTTCGGATTCACCATGGCCGGAATGGGGATGGCCCCCGGTGAGAGCAGCAAGGACACCAATCCGGGCCGACTCTGATGAGTTCCTACTTGTCGAAGATGAGTATGACCTTCTTGCTGCCGTTGCCGGTCCACTCCAGCTGCATGGATTTGTGTGACCAGGCGTAGTTCATCTTCGGCCTATGGGCCTCCTCCCAAATAAACACGTTGTAGGTGACGGTGTTTCCCCAGGAGCTCCGGAATTTGTGTGAGAAGCTGAGGCTGATGCAAAGTGCTACGGAGTCGTCGTCCTTCTGCACGTTGAAGTCTGACAGGCACTTCTTCACGAGCCGCTGCGCACGCTCCTTCTCACCTTCGGCGTCAAAGCCGCCCTGAAACACCACGCTGACATCTGTCTCCTGGCCCGAGACCTCCAGGATTGAAGCCTCTTCGCCGCTGGTCTTGAGCATCTGATGTCCCGCGTCTCCCTGGTTGAGGGGCTGGCTTCTCTCCTCGCGAAGTGCAGAGGAAGCTGCAAAGTACAAGATCATCAGGGCAGCTCTCATGCTGTGCTGATGGGAGAATGGATAGGAATCGACAAACTTCGACAAACCAGTCGCAGATCTGTGGCTTGAGCCGTGCAGATTGTCAGGTGTACGCGAATTCGGACACGTAACACAGGAAATCACATCAAGAAGAACGACCATGCTAGGCTCTGTGGGAGGTCCAAGCCTCTCCTTGATATGAGCTTCAAAGATTTTGTGAATGATGGGGCCCTACACCCCTAACCTAAACCCATAGGCCCCACGGCTCCCAAAAAACCCTGATTCACTTCCTATGACAACCCATTCCCCCCCTCCCAGCAAACAAAAACATGGGTCTTTCCCCAAAACAAAGATCCTCGAATAAACCCCAGTCTACGTTACGTAGTCCGTATCAGAATCATAGGAAACCCCCCAAAAAGACCCCCCCTCCAGCCCCAACCCCAACCCCACACATTTTCAGAAACCCCCATCTCGGGTCCCCCAAGTCCGTATGACTATAGCATTGCTGTTGCTACAGGCTCGTTTTGCTTTTTCTTTGGGTTTAGGGTTTGTAAGGGGTACCCCAATCATTTGCTTCTCTTACGGCCCGTTACGTGGGGGAGCTTCAGGGATCTTCAGAGCACTCTTTTCTGCAGGGGCGAGCACGTCACTGCCACTCAGGTGGCCTGGCGCAAGAAAGGGCTTTGAAAGCTCAGGGCTGCGGGTTTAGGGCTCAGGGTTTAAAACCCGAAGATCCCCAGCGGCAGAGGGCCCTCTCGGGGGCAGCTTTCATGATGGTGGTGAGCTTCCCTTCCGAAGGACACCGGTCGCATGTCATGTAGGGGCGAAGTTAAAACAAAATCAAGATTCTGGGAAGTTGGTAGTTGGTCCTGTACATAGTTCGGGATCACAAGGACATCGCGTGGCTAGTTCTTTGGGCTTTTGTAGAAGGTACTTTTCTGGTGCGCCACATGACGAGACATCAAGAAGGCACCAGACAACGAGTGCCAAGCCCATGAACCCATTCCGAATTCCTTATCTCTGATCCCTAGAGCCTGAAATCCTATACCCTAAACCCAAAACCCTTAGGGACCCCTCGAACCCCGAACAGCCCAGAACACCCCCAAACCCACAAGACCTTAAATACAGATTTCACAGACCTTAGATAAACCCAACTAGACCACCAACATCCAGTAGCTTGAGCCTGTACACCCTCAGCCCCGATTGTGGTTTGGACTTTAAGGTTTGAGCGTTTCGGAGGGGTGTAGTGTCCAAGTCTTTTTTTTGGCTCAGGGTTTCTAAATTAGGGTCCTTTGCTTGTCTTCATAATCGGACTCCCGATTCAAGAAATCCCTGAGCCCTGTTGCGAGCCTCGCCCTGGCTGGCATAGCCGCCGGCCCCCCGGGCGAGACGCAGGACCTGGCAAGCTTCGGTAGATTCCTCAGAGGGCTTTTGAGGGCGTTTCAAGGGGCTTGAGTTTAGGGCTTAGGGTTTAGGGTTTCAAGTCTAGGCATAGGGCCCGGACTGGCTTCATGGTCTTTTCATCTCCCCTCCCCGCTACGCTGCTGAACAGTTGCGCTGCCCAGAGCAGTGCTGCTCTAGATCTACTATTGACAAACCCTAGAAACCATCACAATGAGACACCCGAATCTTTGGGCAGTTTCAAGCTCTCAGAGAAGGTTCTCGAATTGTTCCGCTTAAGCTTCAAAGGCAGGGCCTTACACAGCCTTAAGCCCGAAGCCCTAAGCCTTAAGCCTTGAACCCTCAGCCCTAAGCCCCGCAGCCTTAAACCGCTAAAACCCTGTGCCCTAAATCCCCCAAAACCAGACCCTATGCCCCAAACCTCACGAAGCTAAACCTGGCCTCCACATCTGCACGGAGCTCCTGCACCGGGGCCAGTGAGAGAACAGACCAGGTCGACTTGGTATAGGGCTGGAAGAGCGAAGGGTGGACTTTGTAGTTTGGAATTCTCAACCCTAAGCCCTAAACCCGAAACCTGGAACATAGAGGAATGTATGTCACCCTAAAGGCCCTAAAGTGAGGGAGCACATAGAGCCGGCAGCTCGAGTCAGCGCGAAATCCTACAAAGGGCGCAGGATGCTTGACAACTATTCTTTCTTTCTTGTATAGGTCAAGAGTAATACAAACCAAATGGCCGCATGGCCCCACCAGTAGACTTGGTTACGGCTTCATCAGAAACCTTTAGCTCTGGTTCTCCCCATCTGCGAAGGCCCTCGTTTTCAGTTCAGAACCCTAAACCCTAAACCCTAGACCCTAAACCCTGAACCCTGAACCCTAAACCCTAAACCCTAAACCTAAACCCTAAACCCTAAACCCTAAACCCTAAGCCCTAAGCCCTAAGCCCTAAGCCCTAAGCTCATATCCCAAGCAAACCTCTGCGTGCCTTGCCGGCATGAGACATCGCGCGCTTGTCTTGCCGCACAGCCGCCAGAACCACCTTGTTATAGGGCTCTTAAGCAAGGGGGGTTTCGGCGGTAGGGTTTAGGGTTTTAGGGGTACCTAGGAAACTTTTGGGAAGCTTAGGGAGCTTTGGGGAGTATGGGGGAGCATTAGGGAACCTTGGGTTGCATACCCCCCTCGAACCGCCCTCCCGTGAAGAACCCGATGACCATGGCAAGGCATCTGGTCCAGCCTGCAAAGTGCAAGAAATAACCCAAGAAATAGTAAACAATCTCAAGCCCAAAACCATGATCTGTACAGTTTTCGATGTAGGCTATGGTGTTTCGAAGCTGACTTCTTGATACCCTCTGTTAATTCCATTGGGCTTGGTCTTGGTCTTTCGGGTTTCGGAGGTTTCTGTTGGGGTCAAGCCTTCTAGGGGTTCAGGAGTTTGAAGTCTTCCAGGGTTTCTTGCTGTTAAGGGTTTCTTGCTGTTAAGGCCATTTCTAGGCTTTGTTGAATACACCCGAAACCCTAAACCCGAATATACAATTCCGCAGGATCTGAGAAGCCTTTTCCTTGTTTGTCGAGCTTTGACCCTCTGACGCGCCTGTCGGTCTGATCGGAGGGCGTCGCTGGCGTACTCCAGCGCGTGGCCTGACCTCTGCAAGAGAGTTTGAATTATAGTAGGGATATATTGATAGTACAGTCTTTGTCGGGTCTTGGTGGAGTTTATGAAGGTTTTCAGGGGTCCCCTCACCCCGCCACCCACTGGGCTGGGCCTTCAGTTTTCATCACATTGCATCCTGCGCGTCAGATACGGGATCGGAGCACCGTGAACAGGCTGGAAGTAGCCAACCTGGCAGCGAGCGCGGGCACGAAGCTCACGGTAGATTCCGCTCTTGTACTGTGTTGCATCCTGTGTGAGCACACACGGACGTGAATTCCGAATTGTTTGCCGGACGGCGGACGCCAAGAAGCCTTTCCAGTCCCAGGAGTCGCCGTACACATCTTCTTGAAGCAGCCGAACCACAGTCTTGCCATTCCGCAGCGCCCACTGCTCCTTGAAGTGGTCTCTTTGCGGCACGCCTCCATCATCTTCAGATCCACCCCACCCGAGCCCAAAATGCCCAATGTTGCCATCCAGCTCGATGAGAATCGTGTCGTTGTTGAGGCCAAAGTCGAAAGGCAAAGTGCGATTCGACGCCGGGCTCGTGCAGCCCCCGACCTGCGAGGTGACGTTGAACTGCGAGAAGTTCTGGGCCAACCACCGCATCAGCTTTCCTTCGGTCTTTCTTGAACAGAAGCAGCCAGGAGAGTGGCCTTGCTGCAGGTCACTCAGTCTCGTGCTGCGGGAGCGGTGGCCGCAGCGGCGACACGTCGCATCCAGCTTCGAGGAAACGCTGCTCACGTGGGCTTTCCACCAGGCTTCGTCCATGCGTCTGACATCGTACTGGCCACCATAGCGCTCCCAGATAATCTCCAGACATCGAGCACGCCCTGCCGGGCTGGACCAAGGCACGCCGCCATTGCAGAAACAGCCAGGAGCCGCGCCTTGCTGCAGGCTGCTTACCCACGTGCTGCGGGAGCGATGGCCGCAGTGGCGACACGTCACATCGAGCTTCGAAGTACGATTTTTCACGTGAGCTCTCCACCAGGTTTCGTCCATGCGGCTTACATCGTACTGGTCACCGTTGCGCTCCCCGATCATCTCCAGACATCGAGCACGCCCTGCCGGGCTGGACCAAGGCACGCCGCGATTGCAGAAACAGCCGGGAGCACAGCCTTGCTGCAGACTGACCAGAGACGTGCTGCGGGAGCGATGGCCGCAGCGCCGACACGTGACATCTAGCTTCGACTTCTGATCTTGCACGTGGGCTTTCCACCAGGCTTCGTCCATGCGGCTGACATCGTACTGGCCACCATAGCGCTCCCAGATAATCTCCAGACATCGAGCACGCCCTGCCGGCCTGGACCAAGGCACGCCGCCATTGCAAAAACAGCCGGGAGCATGGCCTGTCTGCAGGTGGTTCAGTTTCGTGCTGCGGGAGCGATGGCCGCAGTGGCGACACGTCACATCCAGCTTCGAGTTCTTGCCTGTCACGTGTCCTTTCCACCAGGCCTCGTCCATGCGGCTGACATCGTACTGGTCACCGTAGCTCTCTCCAAGGATCTTGAGGGCCCTGAACCGGCCAGCTTTACGCCTCCATAGGAATGTGGCTTCTTTGACAGACTTCTCGACTTCCGTTGTCTGACAACTACGAGCATGAAGATGCTCATGAAGACGCTCAAGGGCCGCGTGTCGGGCGACTGGTCGTGCACAGCGCTTCGGCTCCCAGCGTGCACGATGGAATTGCAAGAAGCCTGGGCGATACTGCAGGTTGGCCAGCAGGCCGAGTGCCAGCAGCCAGCAGAGGAGCCATGACCTTCGCCGACACATCGGCGTCTTTGCAGTCCGGTTCGCTGACCGGCGCTGAGCAGGGTGCACCGCAAAGAGACGGTGTCCGCATGGCATGGCTGTTCCTACAACCTGTAGACTTCGCAGTCTCATGTTGCGGACTTTTCCCAAGCTCAGCTGCCACACATCTGCGTCCCCCCATGCCCAAACCTCAACACCGAGTCACCTATACCCCCTTTAGAACCATTCAACAAATGTTCAGATTCCCTTGGGCGTAATATAAACAAAACTAACCCTGTAAACTCAAACCCTAAACCCTAGAACTCAAACCCTAAACCCCAAACCCTACAAGCCCAAAGCCTAAACACCCGAACCCAATACCCAAAACCCTAAAACCCTAAGTGCCCAAGCCCTAAACTCTAAACCCTATAGCAGTAAACCAAAACCCGAAAACCCGAACCCCAAAACCCTAAGTACGGAGACCTGCAAGGCTGGGGGCTTCTGAGCCGTGAGAAGACGGCGCTTTGGATTTAAGCTTGCGGGTGGTTGCCGAATGATGCGGTTTCGGGATTAGGGTTTTGGGGTGGCTTCGAAAATAGTGAGGGTTAGAGTATTTTGGGCAGGGCATCCTATTTTTGGAAGAAGGAGGCTTGCATCCAAGTGACTGCTCCACGGCGGCCAGGACGACCTCTCTGAGATCTCCCACAATTGGGAAGTTTCCAAAATAGGGGGCCCTAAGATGCTCATAGGGGGCACTGCTCGGGCTGACTTCCGTGGTGTTCGAACCCGATCAGAGGACTCCCTCATGAGGATGGTATGAAGTAGAATTCTCCCCCACAGAACATCCCATGCGTATTCTCACCACGGTTTATCGGGAACCATATGTACACTCACCAAGCCTAGACACCCTTCACCCGAAAGCCCGAAATCAAATGGGATCCACTCTGTGAAAGCCTTGAAGCCCCCAACCCACCTCGCGGTCCGCCTGAAGTGCCGGCGAGGCAAACCTGTAGAGTTTTCTTGGGGTTTAGGAAGTCTAAGGGTTCAGGGTTTAGGGTTTGGGGTTTAGGGTTTGTAGGGTTTAGAGGCTCAAGGGTTTAGAGGGTTTAGGGTTTGGGGTTCGGGGTTTTGGGTGCCCAAATGGCATGCAAACTCCGAAGTAGAAGTTCTTTGAGCCGAGTGCGGAGCTCGCCGGGTTCTCGGCGGCTTGTTGCAAGGCTTGAGACTGGCAAGTTGCAGTTCCCAAGCATGCTAGGCCCAGAGAGTAACCTAGGAATAAAAAAGTACCCCTTTTGGTTTAAAGGGGCTTATGAAGGAACCTAAGCCCCAGAAAAAGGTACTCCAGGTCCTAGGGATTTTTCAGCGGCCTGGCAGGGAATGCAGGAGCTAGAAGGGGCCTTGGCGCTTAATATGACACCTAACCTAACCCTTATTTAGGGATGACCAAGGACTTTAAAGCCCTGAGCCCGAAATCCTAAGCCCTTCATTGCAGTGAGGGAGCTGCAGGGCCACCCCATTGAGGCGCACGGCCTCCAGCATCAGCTCCTTGACAGATTCGGGCTTCGGGAAGGGAGGCTTATGGTCTAGGGTTTAGGTTCCAAGGTTTAGGGTTTGCGAGCTCTAGAGCATAGGAGGGGGGGTTTAGAGAGCTGAGGGTACAGGCTGTAGGGTACAGGGTATCGGATGTAGCCTCTTTGGTTTGGTTTAGGGTGTAGGGTTTAAGATGTGAAGTGCCGGGTTTCTGGTATATTGCAAAAGGCACAGCAAGCTAAGGGTACCGTGTGTTGGATATAGGATTTGAGAGAGCCGGCTGGAATCCCAAAAAACTTGAGGACCCAAGTAAGGCTGTAAGCGGGGGGAGTCCTCGCCCTCATAAGCTTATATAATTACCCCTGAACTGCACTTCTTGTCCTTGAGTTTGTATAGCGTCCTTGTTGTCGCGAAGGGACTCGCTGGCTTGCCGCAGGCATTGCACGTCCTCCGGGTTTTCTCTAAGGTTCAGGGTTTAGGGCTTGGCGTGTTCAGGCCTTGGGCTGGTTGAGGGTTTAGGGTTTAGGGTTTAGGGTTTAGGGTTTAGGGTTGCTGCCATGGCAGGACAGAGCTTAGGAGGGGACTGTAAGGGTTTCATTCGCCCCCTCTCCATTGCATGACATCCTCCCAACCCGAACACCCAAAACCCGAAAGAAAGCCGGAAACCCCCAAAACCCTAAAGGCCTTAAACCCGAAAGCCCAAAAAACCCTAGACCCGAAAAACCTACATCCCCAAAACTCTAGACCATAAAGCCCTAAATTCCCCAAAACCCTAAATACATACACCTTAAAAGCCTAAAACCCCTAAACCCCAAGAGTCACAGCTCAAGGTTCAATTCCGGGACTCATGGTCTCAGGAAGAAGGGGTCTGGTTTGAAGCGTTAGTGTCTAGGGTTCAAGGAAGCAATGTTTTCAGACGTGGACATTGGGATTGGCAGGAGGGGTGTGGGAAGATATCTGGGGCTTAGGGAGCTGTAAACGTGGCGTCCTGCCGCACGGCCGCCAGCACCACCTGCTCTCTACTTGCTGTCGGGTCTCATCTAGCTTGGATGATGCGAGGCTTCCCGACACCCAAAACCCAAAATAAAATCTCTCGGCGCCAGTAAACTCCATGACTTCAGGGTTCCAAAAGTTCCGTGTTGCGGGATCCTTGGAGCATAACTGCTAAGGGTGAGAATCTGCCTTCTTCTTGGGGACACGCCTAGAAGCAACTTCTTGGTAGTTTTGTCTTGGTGTCCCAGAGAAGAGAAAGTGAAAAGAAAACAAAGGCCAGCTATCAGATTGTTGTAGCAGTTTTCGGGCTCAGGGTGCAAGGGTTGAGCCTGACAGCCCACGCCTTGTTCCCGAATGGATCCGGAGACTCCAATACTTCAAGAAACATCCTTCAATCACAGAACGATCGGTGTGACACTTCAAGGACAAATCTAAGTGGAATACATCAATGTTCCTGAGTTGGGAGGGGGGTGGGTAAACCCTTTTCAAACCTCGAAATCCGAGGCGTTAGAAAGGAGCTGCTTTGAGGCTACTTAGAGCCTATGTCACTCCTGGTACAAAACCCTCTCAGCCTCGGCATCTGCCAGCAGGGCAGGGGCCGCGTAGCGCAGCGCGCCGGAGCTCTGGGTCAGAAATTTGGGGTTCAGGGTTTAAGATGAGGGGTTGCGATGGCTTCTTCGGAAGGGGAGCCTCTCGTGGGATTTGAAGCTCAGGGTTGTGAGGAGCCTTGTACCCTACAAAACTTCTTCGTGGGTTTGTTGTGGTTTTTGGGGGCTGAGAAGCCTTCGCAGGGGTTCTCGGAAAGGTGTGGGATATCATTCAAGAGCCAACACCCCAAGTGCCCAAAGCTGATCCCAGCAAGTCCCAACAAAGAGCTCGCGAAGCAACTTTCCACTTGAGTCGGTGCGGTCGCCACGAACTTGTTGCTGCTGTACACTAAGGCCAAGCAAATCAGCCAGACTCAACAACAAGCCGGAAGCCTCTCAGCACCATCAGAAGCTCCACACAGGCTTGAAAACGGGCTTTTCAATCCCAAAAGTGGGGACCCTCTTATATATACCTTCCGGAAATAGCGTCATCCTTCTTATAGGACCGTCATTTGGAATCCTAATTAGTCTATGAACCGAAATTCGGAAACCCCCCAACATCTCGGGCTGCTTGTGCAGGCCCGATTCTTGAGGGGTTGCGAAGGTTGTGTGGCGCTCACCGCGTCGCTAAAGATCCTGCCACATCTCCTGCAGCCGTGTTTTAGGGTTTAGGGCTAGGCTTTAGGGTTTATGGTTTAAGGTTGTTCTAGAAGGATGCAGTCCCATGCAAAAAAAAAACATGTGGGAGCTCGCGCCGCCAAGTAGCCTTGAGTGCCTGGCGATCGCTTGGATCGAAGCCATTCAGAATTTCCGCCAAACTTCTCCTGGGTCTTGGGATGCTCCCCCCCATTATACTAACCCTAAACCCTAAACCCTAAACCCTACATAAACCCTGAGCCCTACTCCTTCATAGGGATTATAATAGGGGGATACTATAATCCCTATTAAGGACTGCTTGTTTCTTCTTGACGGCATGGCTCCGGTCCTGCCCTTCCGCCGCCCCTAGACCCTAAACCCTAAACCCTAAACCCTAAACCCCAAAACCCACAGCCTCAAAACGAGTATCAAGTCCTGAACTCTATCCTCTGAGCAAGAACCTTCGAACCCTACAAAACGATATTGTTTCCTCAAACACGTCATAAGGTTGTTTAGGACCAAGGGTTCCTTTAGCAAAACTCCTTAGCAATCATGAGGAATAATGATGCTTCTCAGGTTTTGCCCTAAACCCTAAACCCTAAGCCCTAAGCCCTTGAAACCCTAAACCCTAAACCCTAAACCTTAAACCCTGAACCCTAAACCCTAAACCCCAGCTCAGGCTCTCGGGTGCCGGCGGCTGAAGTCGCCGGAGCCAGGCGAAGATCTTTTGGAGCACTTCATCCACCGCCTCCGCCTGCAACCCGCCACCCCTCAACCAAAAGTAAACCTTAAACCCCAAACAGAAACCTAAACCCTAAACCCTAAACCCTAAACCCTAAACCCTAAACCCTAAACCCTAAACCCAAACCCCAAACCCCAAACCCCAAACCCTAAACCCTAAACCCCAAACCGAGCTGAGACCCAGCGTGCGCCATCCCGAGGCGCCCCTGCAAGCCCTTCCGACGCCTGTCCACGGATTTCAATCTCACCCGGGATTCGTGGGTTGATGGAGATTTCTCGGATTCCCCGGCGAGCGTTGAGCACGTGAAGCTTGTCTTTGCGGAAGTCCTTGGCGCCAGGCTTCAGTACAGACGGTATTAGGGGTACCTTCTTGGGGTCCTTGTTCTAAGGGGATCTTGCTATTTGGGGTCTACATTAGGGCCCCTTATTCTCGTAAACTCCCAGATGGTGCAACTACGACACAGCAAGCTAACATGGCACCTTCTTGCACTACCCAAGAGGCTCGCAGAAACTGGGCAGGGATCGTCACCTTGGGGACGAAATGAACCCTAAAAGGGTTTAGGGTTCATACACCTCAAGAGGACTTATAGTAGTATAGGGTATATGACCCCAGTTTTAGGCTTCATTTCGTCCCCAAGGCACACGCTCCTCCACGATGAACTTGGACCGCACCTTCTGCGCCGCGCCCTGGGCAGCGGAGAGATCCCCGATGATGACCAAGTTGCCAGTGTTGCACATCCATTCCTTCTTGGGTTTAGGGTTTAGGGTTGAGGGTTTAGGGTTTAGGATTTAGGGTTTAGGGTTTAGGGTGTAGGGTAGCCCAGTAGCCATCTTATTAGCAAGGGCACCCTTTTTGGGGGTTGGTTACGTTATAGACCCCCTCCACCCCCCCCCCCGCCCCCCCCAACAAAAAAAAAACAAGGGAAAAAAGGGTACCCACTCTGGGCTACCAAGATGCTGTTCGGACGGCGAACCGCCTCTCCAACTCACGGCGCCCGGAGTCCCCCACATTGCGCCGGTAGTCGGACCTGGGGGACGCATATGAACCCTAAAAATGGGGGTCATATGCCCTGACTACTATAATTCCTATTAAGGTAATATAAACCCCTAAGCCCTAAACCCTAAACCGCCTAAACCCTTTAGGGTTCATTTAGTCCCCAAGGGACGCGGAGGCGAAGTGGATGATCTCTTGGTGGCAGAGGCGTCTAATGGCCGCCACACCTTGGGGTTTAGGGTTTAGGGTGTAGGGTTCGAATTAAGGGCACCACTGTTTTGGGGGGGTTGGTTACCCTTTATAAGGGGGACCTGGAACCCAAGAACAAGGGGAAAACAAGGGGGTAGCACTGGACTCACTGGACTACTGGACTACCAAGGCACAGGCATCCACGTCGTCTTCCGGGCCTCGGACGGTCAAAGTCATGGTTTCCTCCAGGTTCTCGGCGCGAACTTTGGGCAGCTCGATCTTGACACCATACTCGCTTTCGATCTGGTTGACAAGAGCCTTGTAGGGGGAAATGGCACCCCCCCAAACTGGGGTCATATACCCTAGACTACTAAAAACCCTACTTTGGTAACATGAGCCCAAAACCCCCTAAACCCTAAACCCTAAACCCTGAACCCTGAACCCTCAACCCTAAACCCTAAACCCTAAACGCCTTTTAGGGTTCACACAAGTCAGCCCCCAAGGAACCGGGCCGCTCGAGCCAGTTGGTCGGCAGAGCTTGCCTCGATGGATCGTCGCGACGACGACGGTGCCTTGCGTCATCAGCCGCTTCCTTGGGGTTTTAGGGTTCATGGGGTTTAGGGTTTAGGGCTTAGGGTTTAGGGTTTAGGGCCTAATGTTTAGGGTTTGGGGTTTAGGGTGTTTAGGGTTTACTGGGTTTATGGTCCATATATTCTGAATAGGGGTTATAGCAGTAGAGGGATCGGACCCTCGTTTTAGGGTTCATTTGGGTTGCCAAGGTTCGGAGGTGGCGGAAGTGCTGGTAGTGCTTGGGGGGCGTCCTCCACCGGTGGCAACTCCGGCACACTCGCCCCCTCAGGCAAGCGCGCCGGCAGTGGCAATCTTGCCGGCTGCGGGCGCAGCCGAGCCATGACTTGCTCCTATACTCCCCTAAGAACCTTTAAAACAAATGTTTTAAATATCCTTTTGGGTTTTGTATATACAAAAACTAAAAAATAATTCCCAAGGCGGATATAGGCTCCAGCATCTCAAACGCACGGTCACCACGGCTCTTGAGCTCGCCAGCAGCCGGAGCGTGGGGAACCAGCAGAGCAGGATCGGGCTCAGGGTCGCTGGACTCTCTGAGATCCGACTCAGTCTCCGCTTCAGAGCCGCTGCCGTGCACCTCTTCAGGTGCTTCAGGCTCAACCGGATGCGCCTGGGCTACCGCTGGCCTCCTCCTGGCCGGCTCTTCACTGAAGAGGCTGGGCACCTTCTCTTTCAATGCCTCCAGCTCGGTTGCGCTGAGCCCTGCCCCTGCTCCTGCGTAGCAGCCGTAGACGCAGCAGAGCTTCAACGTGGCGATGGTGCGCCCTGTGTGCACCCCCGCCACGATGCGGTCCTTCTCCTCATCGGCATCCCAAACCTCTGCGAGGCAGGAGATTTTGCCCAGGAAGTTCTTCAACTGCTCCTCCTCCGAATCCCCTCCCTGGGGAAGGCAAAGCTCTTTGATCTGAGAGGCCAAGTGAGCGATGGACACTCCTTGGGGACGAGATGAACCCTAAAATCGGGGTCTTATACCCTAAGCTACTATATAATTCCTATTGAGGTAATGTGAACCCCTAAACCCTAACCCTAAACCCTAAACCCTTTTAGGGTTCATTTAGTCCCCAAGGTTCCGGGCGGCTTGAGCGCGCGTGCGAAGGCCGTCCAAGCTGATGATGACAACTGGACCTTGAGGCCCTTCTCCTTCAACCTCGGGAGTGGGCATGTGGGATCGTGGGTTTAGGGTTTAGGGTTTGGGGTTGCGAGCAGGGTTTCATGAAGCTTCTTGCTTCTGCAATGTGCCACAGGAAATCGTGCGCTCCGAGTTCCACAGCTGACTTCGCTTATTTTTCGGAGAGCGTGCCCGGGCATTTCAGACAGAACGAAACCCTTTCTAGAGGGCCAAGCCGCCTCGCATCCAAAGCTTCCACTGCCAGGGGCCTGTTCACGGGCCTGCAAGGCACGGAGAACAGGGTTTAGGGTTTAGGGTTTAGGGTTTAGGGTTTAGGATAGAGCCAGTCGCATACTGTGAAGACGAGAGCGTAGTAGAGCAGAGTACAATGTGGCATGGTGGTCGCGTGCTGAGTTGCTGTTCCGCAAGTCAGACTGAGATATGCAACTTGGTAGCCCAGCAACCATAATAAGGGCACCCTTTTTGGGGTTGGGTATTTTATAAGGGAACCCATAACCAAAAACAAGGGTAAAGGGTGCCACTGGGCTACCAAGGCAATCTTATGAGTACGCAGAGAATGTAGTAAACACTTCATGATCCTTCCGATTATCACTGAAGCTACGCTTCTGGTACGGTAGACCGGGCGGGCACACATGAACACTAAAATTGGCGTCCTATACCCTACACTACTATAGCCCCCTTGCAATATGAACCCTGAACCCACTTAAAGATCATTTGGGGGTTGACTAAAAGCAAGAACCCCCAATTTCGGATAACACT